AAGTCTTGACAGAAAATGCTTTTTAGCCATTGAAACGTAATACCCATTCCTTTGTATTGCATACCATTTTATACTGAATATTCATTGATTATTGTCATGCATGTTACATATATTATTATTAATTATTGGTTATCATAAATAAAAATCTATTTTTATATAAACTGTGAATATTATTTATATGGTATACATTACTTACGATAAACGTTCTTTGGGATCTGAGAATTGAAATAGTGGGCAATTCTCAACTGTTTACTATTATTATCCCATAAATATCCCCACATATTGGAGGCACGGTGCTGAGATCGTTTAAGTTGAAATTGTATTTCATATATAATAATATTGGTGTAATTCATGCAATTTAATCTTAATATAGAAAAGAGTTTTGTATTGAGATTAATCAATAAAATAAAAATAAAAATGGCCAGTGGCAGTGATAAATCTGTAACAGATAATACTGAAATAATTGAAGACCTAAGAAAACATGCTCTAGTTCATATTCATAAACATATGAAAAATGATGCAACCTATGAGGTTTGGTTGAAAAGCATAGAATGGGAAGCTAAACACACCATTCTAACTGATGAACACATCATCATATATCTTAAAGAAATTGCTGAACAAAAGAACATAGAAAGGAAAATGGCGTTCATAATACACTCTTGGCCTTTCTTTATGACAGCACTTCTTAAGGTGTGTGATGAAAACAAGTCACTGAATGCCAAATTGGACACGTACAGTGACGATCTGGGCATTCAAAATGGGAAATACCAAGATTTACTTGCTGAGCATAAAACTCGTCAGGCTGATCATGAAAAAGAAATGAAAGCTTTGATGGATAAATATGCACAGGAAATAAATCAGCTTAAAATGCAATTGGATGAGTATGAAAAGGAGAGTCAGAAATTAGACAGTGAGGTTGGTAGTCATCATTCTGTGCCAAAAAGTTGCACAAAAATGCAAGAAAAGACTATCTGTAAATCCCCTCCTTATTATGATTTTCCCACACCAAACCAGGTTTTCATAAAACAGTCTGTAAGTAAAGGTGTGAGTAATTCTAAAAAATCACCTGTGGAACAAGATTCCCCATCTCATGACATTACCAAGCCATCTTGGCAATCTTGGGCAGAACAGTTTGAAAAAGCTGTCTTGACCAAACTTGAGAGGGAGAGTCCAATTCAAGGTGATAGGAATGAAAACAGACATGGTTCTGTACACTGGCAGGATTCTGATGCTGATCAGAATTGTGACAGTGAACAAGAAGCTCAGAGTGATGGGAGTGAAAGTGATTGCACTGTCCACTCTGAAGGCCATGTAACTGATATGCCATCTGCACTGTTGTACGGGTCTAATTCCTCTTCAGCAGACAGATCGCATAGACGTTTACCCAAACACAGAAACAGAGATCGTAAATCAACGACGCCTGTTTATGAAACACCAAAGGTCATCAAATTCCTTAGAGAGACTGTCCCACAATTTTCTAGAGGTTCAGGAAACATATCTGAACATCTGGAAAATTATGATAGAGCAATGAATTCATTGGGCATGTATGATGACATTCATAAGAAATGGTTCATTACATGGACCTTTGATTCAATGTGTCGTGTTTATCTAGAAAGTCTTCAAGCTATACAGTTAATGTCCTGGTCCAAGATGAAATATGAAATAATCATGGAATATGGTAAGTATAAAACCATTGCTTCTGCAAAGAAGGCGCTTTATAACTTAAAGTGCCGTCCAGATCAAAGCCCCAGAGAATTTTTAATAATTCTTAAAAATGCATACTCCGTGGCCCAAAGAAAACCCAGGTATGAAAGCACAGACTTCAAAGATCTGTATTTTCATGCCATGCCGGTAAACATACAAATGAATCTCGCAAGAGATTACGATTGTAAGTTACCATTAGAATGGCTAGTCAGTCAGTGTATGAAGTTGTACACTATACACCATGCACATGACGAAAATCAGCCAAAGGTTAAGAAACCTGGTGATAAAATGGTGTCAGAGACTAAAATTCAGTTAGGTTTAGAAACCCAACAGAAAAAGAGGACCTATTCCGAGGTTTTGAGAACACCAAAACCTCAGAAACAGGAAAACGCTAGAAGCAATTCTGCAAATTCCTCCAATAACTCTGAAAGATCCAAAGCCAATGGGAATAAACGCTCCTGGGTTAATAAGAACCAAGGCAATTCCCAATGGAGAAGGAATCCTCAGGGAAATAGGAGATATGGAAACAGAAATAACCAATCTGCTTCCAATAACTCCCAACAGTCTCAGCCATCCCAACCAAATTCTAATGGGCAAAGACAAAACGGCAATGGGGGAAATAATTTGCGTCGTCAGGTTGGTCAATTGACAGACCAGATGGGCAAATTAATGGAGGAAATGACAAAGATCAACCAAGTCTTTGCTCTAAATCCTTTTTTAGGGATAGCTCCAATTGCAGAACTACCTGTGCAACCGCAGCAACAACAACAGGTGCCGCAGCAATAATAGCCACTGTGACTAAACAGGCTAGGTTATCAGTAGATGTAATGCCTAACCCTGTTTCCTTTCCAGGTACTCATAGTCAAACAAACAATAGTTGTGTTAGAAAACCTATTGCCTATACCGTCACTTCACTTCCGGGTGAAGGAGGCGCGACGTGTTCCTCTGTTTTTTCATTTCAGCCAAAGGCTAAAGTAGCCCCAGCAGCCACAAGTTTCCAGGATCCAGACCTGAAAGGGTTAACTGATGAGATGCCGACCACTAGTTCCCGCTTGACAGTTCAAGATATTCCTAAAAAGGATGGGCCTGTGGGTAAGACTGAGCATTCCTCAGTACAGGTAGAAACTACTGCTGTGACCGGTAATGTATGGAAAACAAGTAATATGTTGACACATTCTAAATTCTTATGTGAATTAGAAGAACATGAAGGAAGGTACTACATGTCTGTAGAAATACAGGATTCGTTACCCCAGCCTTTTAAAGGGTTAATAGATACTGGTTCACAAGCCACTATCTTATCCAATACCTACTTCCAGCAGGTAATGGACTTAGCAACGGATAAGCCGAAGCTAAGAGGTTTCCCCAATGCTCTGTTGAGTGTAGGAGGAAATGCCCTTCATGTTATTGGCAATACATGGTTAAAGTTTAAAATAGGTACCAAAACCTTTAGACACCCGGTGATAGTGGTAGATCTCCCCTATGACCGACTGATTCTGGGTATAGACATACTTAGAAGACTTAACACGATTATTGACTGTGTGAATGGAATTGTATGGTCACAAGCTAAGGTTCCCATAACCTATGAGAAATCACATGTTCAATCTGATCGTAACTGCCATGTGATAGAAGAAAGACCTGACTCGATTGAGGTACATTTTAGAAATAGTCAGTCACCTGACGTGACTATCCTGCAGGTGAATGATGCAATCGCACCTGTAGATGAGCATTCCGTAAGAATTGCTCCAGAGAGGATCCAGAATGTCTCTCTGGAAGGTGATGTTTTAACCATTTCTCTCCACAGGGACTATGTTGAATCTGTAGATCTGGCAGGTCATGCTCAATTCCTTGCCAGAATTGAAAGGGTTAATAACAACTTATTCTTTCCTATTCAAATACATGACTTAGGAAGAAGTAGGAATGCAAAGCTGGACTTACAGAGTGAGAACAGCTATATTAGCAGAAGTCTGTTAAAGCAGATCGCTAATCCTAAAATGATCAGGTATGCTTCCCCACATGACAGGTGGATCCAGAATCTGGATGGCGAATCAGAGAGTCACAATGTGATAGCAAAATGTTTACTATCTATTTCCATCGGAAATAAGACAGTCAAACATTTATTCCTAGTGATAGACGAACCTCGCTATCAGGTTTACGTTGGCAATGATGTCATACATCGCTTTGCCATACACCTTGACCTGATTAATTCCAACTTGTGGACAAGGTTAAAAGGTAATCCTTGTGGATACCTACACGAGGAAAACGCCCTGAAATCAGGACAAATACTCCCATATGCGGTAAGTATCCAAGTTCCTGATGACATAACCATTCCACAGGGGACAAGTAACTTTCTTTTACCCATACAGGTCAAGGAAGGTCAGAGATTGGAAAACTCTGATGCCCTAATCTGTTTATCCAACAGGATACAACAATTAGGGATGGTGGTAACACATACACCAATGGTAAGTATTGGTAAGAATCCCACCTATATCATGGTCAAGAATGTTACACCCAATAGTGTTACTTTACCAAAAGGAACATTATTAGGTCTAGCATTGGATGCTGAGTACTATACATTTGGTTTCCAAAACCAAATTATAGGCCTCATCCCTGAAGAATACTTAACTGAGGACGAAATTGTCGATCAAATATTCCATTCCTCCCCAGAAGGATTATTCACTATCCTATCTGTATATCCCTTCAATGTTGAAGAAGGCTCGTGTAAAATCGAAGAAGCATCTATCACCTTCGATCATCCGCTCAATGAGCAGGAATCACAAGAGTATCACGACCAAAGAGAAAAGGTAAGTCAACACCGAACTGACCTAACTTCTAGGCTTGAAGAAGCTTATGAGATAGGCCAGCCTGAAATCTTTCCAGGATTTCAGGAAAGGCTAGAAGAGCAAATATCTTTAGCTGACGGTTGCTCCAATGATGCTGAGCGACAGCAGCTAAAGGAAGTCCTTTTGGAATTCCAAGATATTTTTGACAAAGATTCCTACGACTGTGGGTTAACTAACCTCCACGTAGCCAGAATACAAACTGATCCAAATTTACCACCTGTATTTATCAAACAATATAGACTCCCATTAGCATCATATGATGGTCTACAAGACATCATTCAGAATTTAAAGGAAAGGGGCATTATACGTCCAGTGCACAGTTCGTATAATAATCCGATCTTGGGGATTCTGAAACC